GGGGGGGGGGGGGAAGGTGAGGTGGGGGTGCTGCTGCGTCGGAGCAACCGGGACTGACGCCGCTCACGTCGGCGTCCCCTAGGATCCGGAGCCGGGCGAGGGGTCGGAGGAGACGGAGCGGGGAGCGGATCCCGACGAGGATTTGGAGAAGCTGACGATGGGCTCCACCTACAGCCTGGCGCCGTGGGGGCTCAGCAGCCCCGAGCTGTACGATGTGTCGCTGTGGCTGACCGTGGTCAAGGAGTCCGGCTCGAGCCCAACAGGAGGTAAGACACGAAGCAGAGCGGACGAGCTGGGGGTGTTGGGGTGACGCGACGCGCCTTCTTCCTGGAAAGCCCACTACATCGCTTTGGGCCTCTCTCGTTTTGTAAATGAGACAGAAGAAGCGTGGAATCTGACCCAGGGTTTTCGTCTTATTTTTGTTTTGTTTGCTCTTTCGGTTGTGGAAGCTGCGAGATAACGGGTCGCCCATCCGCTGCTGAAAGATCTTGCGCTCTCTCTGTCGCTGCCAGACTCAATCTGTCGGTGTTCTTGTGAACCTCCTCCTCCAGGGGCCCCCCCCTCCGATACGGGGCCAAAGGGGAAAAGTGGGAACAGGCGACTCAGTTGGACGATCACGCGGGATTGTAATAAGCGGAGCGGTGCTGGGTCCACTGTTTTTTGTCATTTATATAAATGATTTGGAGGTGAATAAAGGGGCCACGGTTGGTAAGTTTTGCAGATGACACCAAAGTTGTTGGTGCAGTGTGGGCAATGAAGAGTATAATGGGATCTTTATCAGATGGGCCAAGGAGTGGCAGATGGAGTTTAATTTAGAAAAACGTGAGGTGCTGCATTTTAGAAAGGCAAACTGAGGCAGGACTTATACACTAAATGGAAAGGCTTTGGGAAGTGTTGCTGAACAGAGAGACTTTGGAGTGCAGGTGCATAGTTCCTTGAAAGTGGAGTCGCAGGGAGACAGGGCGGTGAAGAAGGTGTTCGGTACGCTTGCCTTTATTGGTCGGTGCACTGAGTATAGGGAGTTGGGAGGGTCATGTTGCAGCTGTACAGGACGTTGGTGAGGGCCGCTTTTGGAATACTGTGTTCAATTCTGCTCTCCCTGCTGTGAGTAGGATGTTCTAAAACTTGAAAGGGCGCAGCAAAGATTTACAAGGATGTTGCCGGGGTTGGAGGGTTTGAGCTACAGGGAGAGGCTGAGGGGTGACCTTCTAGAGGTTTTTAAAATCATGAGGGGCATAGATAGGGCAAATAGACAAGGTCTTTTTTCCTGGCCTAGGGCATAGGTTTAAGGTGAGAGGGGAAAGATTTAACAGGGACCTAAGGGGCAACTTTTTCACGCAGAGGGTGGTGTGTGTATGGAACGAGCTGCCAGAGGAAGTGGTGGAGGCTGGTACAATTACAACATTTCAAGGCGTCTGGACGGTTACATGAGTAGGAAGGGTTTACAGGGCTATGCGCCAAATGCTGGCAAATGGGACTAGATTAATTTAGGTATCTGGTCGGCATGGACAGGTTGTACAGAAGGGTCTGTCTCCGTCCTGTACAACTCTGAGATGCCATGGTGGGATTTGAACCCGTGTACCCACACTATTTAGCCTGCGACTTCTAGGAATATTTTATTTTGTTTTATTAAATTCATTCACGGGATATGGGTGTCACAGGCTGGGCCCAGCATATATTGCCCTCTTGAGAAGGTGGGTGTGACCTGCCTTCTTGAACCCCTGCAGTCCCATGTGCTGTAGGGTAGACCCTTAAGAGGGAATTCCAGGATTCGGACCCGGCCACAATGAAGGAACGGCCGATATATTTCCAAGTCGGGATGGGGAGTGGTTCGGAGGAGGAACTTGTAGGAGGTGGTATTTCCATGTATCTGCTGCCCCTTTTCCTTCTAGATGGTAGAGGGCGTGGGTTTGGAAGGTGCTGAATAAGAAGCCCCTGCAGGGCATCTTCTGGACAGTACACACTGCTGTGACTGAGCATCAGTGGTGGAGGGATAGTCGGAACTGCCGATGCTGGAGAATCTGAGATAACAAGGTGTAGAGCTGGATGAACACAGCAGGCCAAGCAGCGTCAGAGGAGCAGGAAGGCTGACGTTTCGGGCCTAGACCCTTCTTCAGAAAATGGTGGTGGAGGGAATGGGTGTGTATGTGGTGCAAACCAAGTGGGGACACACCTGATTGTGTGCCTTGTCGATGGTGGGACAGGGCTCTGGGGGAGACAGGAGGTGAATGACTCACTGCAGGATTCCCAGCCTCTGACCTGCTTTTGTAGCTGCTGGTCCTTGTTCAGTTTCTGGTCAATGGGAACTGCTAGGATGTTGAATGGGGCGGGTAGGGGATTCACTGATGGTAACACCATTGAACATCAAGGGGCAATAGTTACATTCTCTCTCTCTCGTTGCTGTTGCCAGAAACTGGCAGTGGAAGCAGATATAACTTTTGAAAGAATGCGGACCTGAAAATGTGTGGTTATTTGAAATTTGGTATTCACTGTGCTCTGTTCTGATCAGCACAGGAAATATCCAGTTGGCCCTTCAGAGAAGTTACCAGCAAATCTATGGCACATCCTGCCAATGCTTTCGCTTCGAAGTGTTGAGTTTTACTGAATGTGTATTGTCGATGGCCCTTTAACAAGATTTCCTCCCTCCGCCAGCTCGATCGCTGCTCTGCGCAGATTCCCGTGGATCCCTTTGGTGTTCCCTGTGGGATCCCACTGTCACCCCAGTGGAGCAGGCAAACCCGCAGGAGCAGCCCAATTGGACTCGGAAACAGGTAACAGCAGAGACACCGCTCCGTCTGAAACCTCAGTAGCAAAGGGTCCTCAGGCCTGCGTTCGGACAGTGTAGTGGAAGCTTTACTTGGTGTCTGATCCTGATTGGGGATTGCGTGCAGGGAGCTTTACTCTGTATGTAACCCCTGTGGAGTGCTGATGTTCTTGTTGCTCCCTGTTCTGTTCAGGTTCACTCTGACAGAGTAACAGCGGTGACAGAGACCGAGGAGCTGATTGTAACAGGATCGTACGACCGGACTGTTCGCTTGTGGGATCGCCAGTCTCTGAAGCAGGTATTCCTGTCGCTCTTGTCCATTACCCATTCCTTTCCCTGGTACACTCTGACTCTCTCTCTCTGCTCCCCCCCAGGTTGGCCTGTTCACCTGTCAGGCTCCAGTCCTGTGCCTGGAGGCGAATCCAGCCGACCTGAGCCTCGGGGCCTGCGGGGACGCCGCGGGTGACCTCTACTTCCTGCGCTGGAGCAGCTGCCCCTCCCCGGTCGAGGGATAGACGGACCTGCAGGCTCAGGAGCGGTCACAGTCTCTCCCTGAGGGTCCCTTTTCAAAGGCTGACATCTCCATCCCGGTTAACACTTTCTAAGTGACTCTGTTGGCTAGAACGGAGCGTGATATTGATGAACTTCTCGCTTACCCAGTACTGTGGGTCAATTTGAATCCCGTTACCCCTTGCCTGATGGTGTTCCCTAGGGAAGTTCCTGTCATGCTTTAATTTCAACGAGAACAGCGTGAGCCCAGGTTCCACCGGCTCTCTGGTAGAGGGGAGCGGGGGTGGAGAGGTGCCCTTAGTCCTGAGGACCACTCAGGAACAGCACTGATCATGTACAGTCAGCCTCAGCAAATAAAGGCAATGATACCACCCTGCTTCTGTCTGCTCATTCATGTATTTATCAGAATCATTGGGGTCAGATAGTGAATCTTTATTTTGTACACGGAGTTAGTTTCTCTACAAAGCCAGAGGCTAAAACTACGAGCCTTCCCATCCCAGCAGCAATCACCTCTTTTTCACAGGTGCAACGTAAATTAAAACACACATCATTGAGGGGGCTGAGCACCGGAGCAAGATGGCACGGTGCCTGCCTCACGCACACTAACCGAGGAGGTTTAAGAACGTTTGGCTCCGACGGTCTCCTTCCTGTCCCCTCTCCGCTAGTAGGAAGGGGAAATCGAAAGGTCAAAACGTACTGCGACATGCAGTCCTCCTGCCGAATCCTCCGCTACTTCCGGCCGTCGGTGATGGGTCCGTCGGGTCTCACTCTCGAGTGGGCCCATCACAGGATGATGCCCCCACCCGTATATTCCACTCTCTGAGAGAGGAAGGGGAAGGAAATGAGTCTTTTTAACGAACAGGAACAAGCAAGCCGCACCAGTGCAGAAAAGGCCCCTCGAGCCTACACCGACAATTACTTCTGCTAAAGGCGTGCTAATCCCAAATTTCCTGAACGTTTCCTGTACCCCTACGGCACTTCAAGTGCTGGTCCCATTCTTTTTTTATAAGAGGTGGTTTCCGGCCTCCGCTACCTTCCAAGGAAGCACATTCCAGATTCCCACCACCCGCTGAGTGAAGAGATTTCTCCCCCTGAAATCCCCTCACCCTAAAACTAGGCCCCCCTCCTGACTGACCCCGGTCAACCAAGGAGAACCGTTTGGAGACATCACTGCTTTCCCCTGCTTTTCCAGCACCCACCCCTCAGAACCTCTCAATACTCCAATGACCTTGGTTACAGAGTCATACAGCGTGGAAACAAACCCTATGGTCCAAGTCCATGCCGACACCATTCCCTGAATCAACGTGTCACACAAGGATTGGATTACAAATGCAAGGAGGCTTTCCTGAGTTGATGTGGGAATCTGGTTGAAAATGGACCTGTGCTTTCTCTGGGCTCAGGGCAGGCTTATAAGGAGAATCTGGATGACCGTGGGAGGGCAGTCTCAGGTTAAGTCTCGGCCACTTTATCGAGATGAGCAGGTGCAGATTAGTTTGGTGCTGGGGGGAGGGGTAAAACTTCAGAATTCGCTGCCCCAGAGGTGGAATATGTTCGCATTGATTCAGGGTCAGCTTGCCAACTGGACACAAAATTGGCTAATGGCAGGAAACCAGAGGGTGGTGGTGCATGGTTGCCTTTTGGACTGGAGGCCTGTGACCAGCGGTGTTCAACAGGGATCGGTTGCTGGGTCCACATTTGGATGAGGATTTAGGAGGCACGGTTTGTAAGTTTGTGGATGACACCAAAATTGGTGGTAGAGTAGACAGTGAAGAAAGTTATCGAAGATTACAAAGGGATCTTGATCAATTGGGTCAATGGGTGGAGGAGGGGCAGATGGAGTTTAATTTGGATAAATAAGAGGTGTTGCATTTTGGTGACAGAGACCTAGGGGATTAGGTACATAATTTGAAATTTGCATCACATGTAGACAGGGTGGTTAAGAAGGCATTTAGCATGCTTGCCTTCATTGCTCAGACCTCTGAGTATAGGAGTTGGGACGTTATATTGAGGTTGTACAGGACGTTGGTGAGGCCTCTTCTGGCGAACTGTGTCCAATTCTGTTTGTCCTGTTAGAGGAAGTTGCTGGGACTTTATTTCACTGGAGCGTAGGAGGTTGAGGGGCAACCTTTTATAAGTTGATGGATAAGCTGAATGGCCTCGTGTTCCTGTGAGACAGGCTGGAGAAGGACAGAAACAGCACACCCCAACCCCAGAATGCGATCTCACCTGCGGTGGCTCGATAAATGCCAGCCAGTCAGAGGCATGTGTGGGCAGCAGACCCATCGACTGGCACTTGTACACAGCCAGGGCCAGTCCCACCAGGTTGCCGATGAAGTAGACCAGACCCTGAAGCCACTGCTGGCTGGAGCTCTCCAGAAGCTTGAAGGCTGGAAGGGAACAGAGGAGGAGCACAAACGGTTAGGGACAGGCCGGAGAGGCGAGGAGGGGGTTGGTGGTGTCAATGCTGGGACAGTCCTCCCTGTAACATCAACATGCACGACCAGCGAGTAAAGGTTTGTGATAAACCGATGGAGTTTGACAGTCGCAGACAGAGATGGAGACACCCTCACACTCTTGGGTCACAGCGAGGGCATCGCTGTCAGGGCCAGCCTGTGTTACCTTCACCCTATCTCCAATTGCCCCTCCATCTCTGGCTGGGTTTAGAGTTGACTCTGTTACCATGAGGATCTGGAGTCACACACAGAGAGGACCAGACCGGGGTAAGGACAGCTGATTTCCCACCCTAAAAGGGGGCATCGGAACCACACAACAACTGTCATACGGTCACCGATCAGCTTCCAATTCCAGATTTACTCGCTGGATTTAAATTCCACCCAAGGGCCCAGGGGGACTTGAACCTGTGTAATCCATGGGAGAATACCCTGGATTTAGCAGCAAAATCAACACATCCTAATCACGAAAGCAGTTCCTGGGTGAGGCAACTGTCCGATGTCAAGAGATTGAGAAGGTTCGGCTTGTACACTGACTGGTATCTCTCAGTCGCCCCCCTCTCTCAGGGAGATATCTGTACACTTACTGGAGTCTCTCAGTACCCCCCCCCCCCCCCCCTCTCTCTCTCTCTCTCTCTCTCTCCCTCAGGGAGATAGCTGGTTGTCTCAGTCTGTGCTGCAGGTTCGGTGCGATACTCACTTGCCGACATGGACATCAGAGCCTGGATGGGTCTCCAGGCCATCATACAGACCATCATGATGGGGAAGATGGAGATGGTGTTACCAGCCATGTACATGATAAACAGATTCATGGGAACCTGCTTCAGAGGACCCAGGGCGATGTCCCAGCAGCGCTGTCAACAGAAAGCGAGAAGTGGTCAGTAACTGCACAGCCAGCTCACGTACCCACGCTCACACTCTGAAGGAAGGATATTATTCAGCTGGAGAGGCTTCAGAACAGAGTTACCAGAACATTGCCGGGAATGGAGAGTCTGAGTTATAAGGAGAGGCTGGGACTTTTTTCACTGAGATGTAGGAGGTTCAGGGCTGACCGTATAAAAGTTTATCAAATCATGAGGTATACAGATAGGGTTAATGGTGGGTGTCTTTTCTCAAGGATGGTGGACTTCAAGACTAGGGGGCACATTTTTAAGGTGAGAGGAGAGAGATATTTAAAAAAGACATGGGGGGGCAATTTTTTTTTTTGTTTTACACAAAGGGTGATTCGCACGTGGAATGAACTGCCTGAGGAAATGGTGGATGCCGCTACAGTCACAACATTTAGAAGATATTTGTTTAAGTACATGAATAGGAAAGCTTTGGACAGACGTGTGCCATGAGCAGGCAGGTGTGGGTATTATAGTCGGCATGGACAGGTTGGACTGAAGGGTTTGCTACCGTACTGTATGACTACGAGCAAGGAGGTGATGCTAATTTTGTACAAGACGCTTGTACAACCTCAACTTTTGATTTCTTGTTGTCACATGTACCTCGGTACAGTGAAAAGTTTTGTTTTGAGTGCAGTACATGCAGATTATACCACAGAAAGTGCGTTAGGGTTATAGAATACCATGTTACGCTGCAAAGAGAACGAGATCAACATTAAATTCAAAATTTGAGGGGTCCATTCAGAAGTCTAATAACAGCGGGGAAGAAGCTGTTCTTGAACCTGTTGGTACATGTGTTTAAGCTTTTGTATCTTCTGCCCGACGGAAGAGGTTGAAAGAGATTATAACCAGGGTGGGAGGGGTCTTTAATTATGTAGGCTGCTTTCCCGGGGCAGTGAAAAGTATAGATGGCATCAACAGGTGGAAGGTTGGCTTGCCTGATGGACTGGGCTGTGTTCACTGTAGACTATCGAGCATGGTTGTGGGTACCATGTTATAGGGAAGATGCGAATGTGTTGGAGAGAGAGAGAAAAAAACACAGAAGCAGTGTACAAGAGCAGTTCCGGGGATGAGAAACCTCAGCGAGGAGGAGGGAATCGAAGACATTGGGAGTGTTCTCCTCAGAGACGGGAAGCGGCGGCTGAGAGAGAGATCCGATCGAGGCTTTTCCAAAAATCAGGAAGTGGGGGGCCAGACGGAGTAGAGAGGGAGAAGCTGTTCCTGCCCAGAAAAAGAACAGGAAGAAGAAAGAGGTAAATTTAATTGGATGTGCAAAAGTAGCGAGGGGTGAAGTTAGACTTCAGATGGAGCACTCTGTGTCCAGTTGTGGGCATCACATGATAGAAAGGATGTGAGAGCATCAGAAAACTTCTTCCCAAGTGAGTAAGTGGGGCCTGCAATGCACTGCTCAGAAATGTGGAAGGAGGTGCAGTTGAGGAATTGGAGGGGGTTTTGCATGGTTATAGAGTCATACAGCACGGAAACAGATCCCTCAGTCCAACTCATCCATGCAGCCGAGATTTCCTAAATTAATCTAGTTCCATTTGCCAGCATTTGGCCCATATCCCTCTAACCCCTTCCTATTCATGTACCCATCAGCTGCCTTTTAAATGTTGTAATTGTACCCACTTCCACTGGCAGCTCATTCCATACACGCAATACCCTTTGTGTGAAAAAGTTGTCCCTCAGATCCCGTTTAAATCTTTCCCCTCTAGTTTTGGACTCCCCCACCCTGGGGGAAAAGACCTCGGCTATTCACCATATCATGCCCCTCATGATTTTATAAACCCCTATAAAGTCAACCCCTCAGCCTCTGACGCTCCAGAGGAAAACAGACCCAGCCTATTCAGCCTCTCCCTATAGCTCCAACCCTCTTTGTAAATCTTTTCTGCACCCTTTCAAGTTTAACATCGTTCCTGTAGCAGGGAGACCAGAACCGAACGCAGTATGTACGGCTGCAAGATGACTCCTAACTCCCGTGCTTAAATAAAAGGCTAATGGTGTAAGGAGAGGAGAATGGAACAAACTCATAATGCATTCTGTATGCCAGTCCCAACAAGATGGGACCAAATGAGCTTCCTACACTTTGACAATTGTGTGAAGCAAGCCTGGTCAGTCTTAGCACATTAAATGACAAACTCACTTTCTCAACCAGGATCCTGTCTGTTTCCTGGACACTAGTGTCCGGCAGCTGCTTTTCCGAATATCCGACCGGATACATGGAATCGCCCTGGCCGCATTGTCGCTCACGGCCTCTGAGAAAGAGGGAGAGAGAAAGAACATAGACAGTGTTAACAGTCACCACAGCAAACCTGGCAACATCCTGTTAAAGAGGGAGCCTGTCTGTCCATCAGGGACCCCCTGCCCCCGTTAGAGAGGGAGTCTCTCCGTCAGGGAGCCCCCCACCCCCCAATCCCGTTAGAGAGGGAGTCTCTCTGTCAGTGACCACCCCCCCTCCCCCACACCCACCCTGTTAGAGAGGGAGTCTCTCCGTCAGTGATTCCCACCCCCACCCCCCTTAGACAGGGAGTCTCTCTGTCAGGGACACCCCCCACGTTAGAGAGGGGTGGAAAGTGAATTTCTGGGGAGACGGGGGGGGATT